TAATCATGCACGACGACTTTTGATACGTGTGTTCTGTGTTTCCACGTTGTTATAACAATTTCCGAGGAATTTTCTAAATGCTCATGAAATTCAGTATAGTTGAAAAAGAAACACTCTTGATTGAAACTTATATTCGACTAACATTTCACGTAATATTATTTTTGTTTTTATTCTTTACGTAGAATAATTATTCGACTAACATTTCACGTAATATTTTTTTTCGGTCATTTTTATTTTATGAAAATTATTACTATTTGATGTGTTCTTAAATTGAGTTCTACGATGATATAATTAGTTGGACATGACATATTTATTATGTTGGTTTTTAAATGATATGGGATATTCGTTTTTTAAATGATATGACCACTTATTTCTATTTGGCGAAGATGATTGGTTTTCATGGATTCGCGGATTAGGGTTTGTGTAAAAGGGTTGATTGCGTTGCGAAGAAGGATGTTGTTCGCTGATGGCGACACTATTTTGCACTCATTGCATGAGTTGAAGTTTTCTTCTCGTGATGACGCAATTAAAAATAAGTTTTATAATGTTCACGCCGAAGAAGGGTTCGTGGATTCTTTGAATGCAATTTTGTGATTTCTGGATTTTTTTACATGTGCGAATTGGTAAGAAGAACCTGCGATTGAGTTCGGTGGATTTGCTTTAGAAGGAGAAGATTGGTTGGGATCTAGGTGAGTCATGGTGGTTCGATTTGGTGGATGCACGAGGAAGGGTTCTTGAGGTGGTGGGTTAATGGGTTTAGCAAGCTGCGAAAAAGATGGTGGGTTTTGTTCGGGATTGGGTTTTCTTTTGTTTCTCTATGTGGAGATGGATGCTCATAGTGATTGTTTTCCATGCTTGTGGTGTTGCTACGGTAGAGAAAATGGGTTGTTAATGTCAACTACTATGAATATGATTGAACCCTACTTTTTGAAATTGAATCTCCAATTTCTGAAATTGATTCTCCAATTTGTATGAACTCTAAAATCTAATTTTCTTTTTTTCCAATCCCTACTTCGAACAAAGTACTTAGATTAATGTTTAATTCACTTTCTTTTATTTTAAAAAGAAAACAAAATGATACGTCAGAATCACGTACACATCAAATAAGAAATTTCATGTCATTTAAAAACCAAAAGGACCATGCCATGGGAACGTCACAATAACGTTGTTGGACCCATATTTAACGGTAGGCTCTAATTGAAACAATTTTCACATAATAAAAACCCAATTGAAACCGAAACAAAGAAAGAAACCAATTTGAGATTTCAATCCCAAATAAGGACCTCACGAATAATTAAACATAATTTTAACTATAAAAGTTAAAAAGTTTACTTTTTAGCTAGATATATTTCAATTTTCCATATAAATATTGTACAATTACAATTGGATATCGTAAAAAATTTCTAGTTATACAAATAAAAAAGTTTTCACTTTCTCTTAAATCATTTATATAAAAAAAATTTATTAATAAGAAAATTATTTTTTGTCTACAATAAATCCAAAAGCTGAAAGCATATTCTAATGCAATTTCTCATAAGAACATGCATCTTACATATGATACAATCATATTTATATGGTCCAATCTTTGGTATAAATTTCTATGTAACTATTCTTCTCACATAATTATTGACACAACCACATTCAAGTAGGTAAACATTTTTAATGCAATTTTTAAAATGAGAATGTTTTCCACCTTCATGTTTCATAGAACATGTGGTGTAGTTTTATGCACGAGTGTGGTTCTCATAGTCACATGAACACAATCACATGTATGTGGTCACACCTTTTGGTCTAGCTTTTTCTAAGTGTTTCTCACATATGTTGGTGAGAAGGAAGTTGAATTACACAAAGGTTGGTGAAACATTAACTATAAAAGTTATGAATCTCTTCTTTATTGAACTTTATATATAGAAGATATTTATGTAGTTTTATATATATCTCTCACATAGAATGTTACTAATTAAGTTTACATTGTTAAACTAACACAATTTGAGTATAAAATTGATGAACTAATTCATTTGGTTCACTATTTTATGTTTTCTTTTTTGTGTTTTCTTTATTTAAAATAAAAATACATAACTTGTAAGCATCTTAGACAAGATAAATTTGTGTTTACAAATTATTAAAGTACCTACCATTGTAGGTTTGATTTTTATTTGTTGAATCTCTAATATTTATAGCTGGGCTCCACTAAGACATTTCAAGTTCAAGACTCATGTCTTGATTACTTCAACATCTCTTGATTTCACGTCTTCACTAGCTCAACCCCTATGACTTCAGCTTATCTAACTTGATCTCTTTCGAAATGCTCAAAATACCACCTGTAAATGCAATATATTAAACATTTCATATAAATAAGACATAATGACTTCAATTACTAAAATCTTTCACTCTGTTGTGTAATGTCTAACAAGTCCTGAATAAAATTCATAGAAATTTGAATCCAAAATTCTTAGTATCTTAAATATAAGAATTGACCATAACTATATCATCTTACCATACTTAGGTTAGAATATTTGTGTAATTTTTTTATAAAAATTCTTAATATATTTTATGAGTTTCTATGATGAACAAAATGAATTCTTGAAATTTTCTTAAACTTGAAAATATTACTAATACATAGAATTCACTTAACATCACTTGTTTGACGCTTTTAATATCTGTCAATACCAAATTTCGTCCAGGTAAGTAAATAAATAAAAATAGAGAATAAGAGAATAAGTAAAAATAGAGAATAAGAAAATAATAATTAATGGTAGGTAAGATAAAAAAAAAGAAAAAAAAATAATAAAATAAATTTCCTTAATGCAGGACACATCACTAGAAAATATTTTTGAAATATTAGTTTGATATGGTAATAATTTGAATCAATATTATGCCAATAATTATAAGCAATGATTAAAATAGTATATTAATATAATTTGTTGCGTCAGTTGCTTTTAAAGAGGAAAATATGATTTTAAAAATGGACAAACTTTCTGACAATAATTATAATCAATGTCTTGAATATTATTTGATTTCTTTTTCTTGGAACCAAGACATTTTATTTTCTTATTTTGTTCATTGTCATTTAATTTAAAATTAAGGCAAGATAACCATAATATTACAATGTGTGTCTATAAATACACACTCTGTCATAGAAAAAGGGGGACGAAAAATAGAGAGAGACACACTATGAAATAATAGAGATAGAAAGAGTATGAGAGAGTATAGAGAAAAATAAGTTCTCATGCTAGAGGGACTCTATCAAACTATCAAAGAAGAACTAGAGGAGTATTGAAAGCTGAAAAGGTATGTCATCTCTTCACCCTTCTTTTTCTCTTTTCGTTGAAAGTCTTTCTAAACATATTATTTTTTTACTACACACCAATAATGTTTTTTTTTTCAACAAAAAAAATATCTTCTCTCATCTCTTTTGATATTGGTTATATCTCCTGCATCACGTGATATTTATTTTTTATAAAAATAAATAATAAAAAAATATTTCTTATCACGTATTTTCCTATATAAAAATAATAATAAGTCATAAAATAAATTTTATACGAACTCGTCGACCTGTGGCTGGTTTCTTTCCTTTTTTTCCAACAATTTTCAAAATAAAAGAATTTCTTCAAAATAAAAAAAATGATGTCAATCCTAATCGAGTTCACTTTTCAAAAATCCAAAATAATCCAAAATAGTGTTAAACAAACTCACAAACCTTTTTCTAGATAAAGAACTACCTGATCCCTAATTGTCCATCATAAATGGGTATACGTAGGAGCAAGGTCAATCCTTGTCGGGTTCATAAAACAAAAAATATTTTTTTTCTTAATAATTTCTTTATTATTTTTATTTTTGGGGAAAATTAAATATTTGGAAAAACCACGTCAACTTTATACATTTAACTAAAGGTACTACCTTTGGGCAGACGCGGTAGGGTGCTAACACCTTCCTTACACGTAACCGATTCCCGAACCTAAAATCTAGTTTTCGTAGACCATGTCTTATTTTATGGTTTTCCATAGTTTTTCATAATAAATTATGGTGGCGACTCCCAAAATCATTTCCTAATCCCGTTTTGTTTTTCGGCTCGCCTTCCCGTTGCGATCCCGATTGCGACAGATGGCGACTCCACTAGGGACGCTAGACAATCAGGCCTTCTTAATTAAATGAGCAAAATTGACGTGATTTTTCTTTATTTTATTCTATTTTATTTATTTTCTCTTTATTTATTATATATAATTGTCTTTATTTATTTTGGTAATTTATTTATATTCGTTTTTATTATTATTTTTACTTTGCATATCATGAGTGGGATCCTATACCCGGATCTGAGTATAACATAGAATTAGAGGGGTTGTGTAGCGGTGTCACGTCTGGACTATTTCCTGTTTGACTATCGTGAAAACCCCAGCCAGTGTCTGTTCTCTTGACAAGCAATTTCACACCTAGTTGTGTTTCAACTGTTGTGAAAAAGCTGTGAAAAGGACCATAACTCTGGTGGCCTTTATTTTAGGTTTAGGAAGCCATCCCTGTGAGATTGCATATACAATGCTTAGACCTTAAGATATTGGACATACCTTAAAAGCATAAAACATAAAAGCATGTTGTCTTTTAATCATGATTTGGCACATGCATCTTCATGCATCATATGCATTAACAACATTTTTATCATTTTCCCTTCATTTTTTTTACATAACAATAACTGTGCATGTTTTTATAAAAAGCAAAAACGAAAATTTGATGCTTTAATGAATAAACAAATAAGGCAAAATAAAAACCATTTAGTCTAATAAATAAATAGAATAAACTTATAAAACTTTCATCATTTTCAATTTCTATCATAACGATATTAAGGACTTGTGATTTCCGCCTATTTTTAGCATGCATCATTTTTTGCATTTTCACATATCTAGTTTTCATCTAATTCAAATTAATAAAAACAGTATAAAGTTAAATAAAAATCAACGGCGAGACTTCCACGACATCCTTATAGGACTCGAGCGAACTCTGAGGCTATGGAAGTTTGGGAAGAAGAACGTGAAGCTGTAAAGGCCGATATTAGCCAACTAAAGGATCAGGTCGGTCAAATCTTGGGAGGCTTTGAAAGCCATAAAAACTATAGGAGAGACTTCATTTGTAAAGGCAGATGATAATGCTCACCCTCCAGTACATAACGCTGTGGGAACACAATTCACATTTCCAATGTATGGTTTACCACTAGGTTACACACCGCCTATTGGAGATCATGCAGAGGCAGAGCACACTTCTTTGGTTTTTCCCACAACCAGCAGCGTACTCCAAATTAGTAGCCAGGGGCCTATCCACACGACCGAGACAAAGCCGAATGAAACGTCCAAGCTTCCCCACATAATTTTCGCACAAGATGCTGCTTTGCTCACAAATGTAGAAGGAACAAAAGGTAAACTTGTAATTCTAGAAGACAGACTAAGAGCCATAGAGGGGTTTGAAAGTTACGGGTTTGGTGACGTCGCAAGGTTGAGTCTGGCCCCAGGGATGACAATTCCACACAAGTTTAAGGTGTCAAAATTCGAGAAGTACAAGGGTAACACATGCCCTAAGAACCATTTGACCATGTATTGTCGAAAAATGGCTGCCTACGTTGACGACGATAAATTACTTATCCATTTCTTTCAAGATAGTTTGGCTGAAGCAGCGTTGAGTTGGTATACGCATCTGGAATCCTCTCATATCGGGTCTTGGACAAATTTGGCGGATGCCTTTGTAAACATGCATGTCGCGCCAGACAGGTTACAATTGCACCACATGCCAAAGAAAGAGGAAGAGTCTTTTAAAGAATACGCGCAACGATGGAGAGACCTGGCAGCGTAGGTTGAACCACCTCTATATGACAAGGAGATGGTTGCAATGTTTATAAGCACACTACAACCACCTTTTTATGAGCATATGATTGGCAGTGTGTCTTCCAATTTCGCTGATATCATCATCATAGGCGAAATAATCGAAATCGAACTGAAAAGTGGGAAAATTATATCTCAAGCCACCACTCCGAAGAAATTTGTTTTTAATCCGAGGAAAGAGAAAGAAGGGGGAGTGCATGCAACATCAGCAATACCCATGTGGGGAGGTCAAACGCCTACACATGGCTATCAACCAAGCCCGAGTTATCCTCCTTATGTGAACAATACAATGTCTGGTCCCCAAATGAGACCTCGACAACCAGGATATTATCAACCACAACAGGCTTTGAATAATGCCAGGGGCACTGGATCCAGCTTAGGTCCAGATCAGAATGTTGGTCAAAGTGCTTATCCTAGGAGGAACCAATTGAAAATTTTCACTCTCATTCCTATGACATATACAGATTTGTTACCTCATCTCCTTAAGAAGGGTTTGGCCGCTATTCGTCCAATGAAACCCTTACAACCTCCATACCCTAAAAGTTTTGATGCAAGTGCGAGATGCGATTTTCACGGGGGAGCCATTGGCCATTTGACCGAAGGATGCACCTCTCTTAAATTCAAAGTACAATATCTAATTGATGCAGGATGGCTGAAGTTCCAAGAAGACAAACCAAGTGTTGAAGTCAATCCCCTTGCAGAGCATGGAAATACCTCAACAAATGCCATCGAGGTTGGACGACATTGTTGGTATCGGAGGGGGTATTTTTCGAAGAGTATAGCGCAGCGGAATTAAAACTCAGAGAGCGGAAAGCGTGTTCGATCACAATTAAAAATAATTTGGTCCTTTTAGTAAAAATAATTTTCTTTCAGAAAATTAATCAAACAGTTGATATACGTAAAATAATATGAGTGTAGAGAATAGAAAAATCACACAGATATTTTTATCCTGGTTCGATTCAACAGAATCTACGTCCAGTCGTTAATCACTATAAATAGTGATTAACAGTTCCACTAAAAAAGGTTTAACAGATTACAATCAAATGAACAGGAATAAAA